TTTTGAATCTAATGATGGAAAAACCTGGACTTATCACAAATATACGAGTTTATAAATATCTTGCTCTGGCAGCTAGAAAATAGGGTAGCACTCTAGATTTGCCACAATATCTGTTTTGCCAAAATTTCACGACCACACTGGAAGCAGGCACATCTTCCAAAATAAGGTGATTCAGGACAAAACTGCCCATTGTTGGGCCATCCGTTTCAGAAAAGACTTAAACGTTTACAAACAACTTTGGCGATAAGACTTTTAAAATTCTTCACGGCATGTAACATATTGGAAATAAAGTGCTTCGGTAGACAAAGACCTAAGTAAAAAGAGACTTGTTGATATGGCGGAAGGATTTCCAAAGTATCGAAATATGTGCGAGGGTTGAGACAGAACACTTTCTGCATTCACCAACATGGAGTTAGGCAAATGGAGTTATCTGTAAGAACACATCATTGTTCAGTTGATTTTCGATAATTATTTTTGGTTTTTGTCTGGCTTGAAAGTTGGCAAGCGTGGCATGAATATCACAGTTATCCGGATCCCTCGGCTGAACCTCATTTAAATGTTCAATTTCACTTAAGACCACGTCCGAATGAGAACTCGTTGGAGGGTCGAATTCATCTGGAAGAATTGCTTGAACCTCCAGGGTGCCATCATTAACATGAACACAAACTATTTCCGAACTTTTTGGCGAGCGCAGTTTTTTTGATTGCGGTGTATTTTCTGCTTGGCGAACGTATTCCTGAGTAGATGGTGAGACGAAGGTAGTGGGGGTGGAAAGTCTGTACATTCGAGCTTTGCGCCATTTCATCCATGAGAAAATAAAAGTTATTAGGGAGAGAGAATTAAGAAGAAAGCTGAAAATAAAGATGGACGTGGAGACCGCACAGGAGTTACGAATACAGTTGGGTTGGGTAGATGCGGTTTCCAATGACACGTTCTCCTTCATTGTCAAAAAGTGACATTCCAAATGGACTGTTTGCCAAACGCCGTTTTCTGAAAGAAAATTGACATGTTCCACTTAAATAGGTATTTGAGCTTCGTTGTGCAGAACACACGCAAATATTTATGTAACAAGACTTAATTCAGCAAACTCTAACTTTGTATTCATGTAAGGATACTAATGTCTGCTGCACGGATATACATTCGGCTTCCCTTCGCATTTTATTACAACGGAAACAAAGTTAATGCATGGGACTGAGGTTTGCTATTATTTGGCGATCGAGCGAAAGTGGAAATTTATTTGAAAGTAATCTGCGGATTTTTTCGACATTGGAAGTCTAAGTATTCTGACGTCAAACCTTTGACACTTATGTTAATCATTCTTTTAATTTGGAGAGGCACAGATTTTGTTTAACTAGATATTAGCCAGCAAATTTTATCAACGAAAATAGGATATACAACGCTTGACAGCATCGCAAATAAGATTATAACTGCTTTATCCCAATGCAAAAATGAACACTTTATGCGTGTGGCCTACGAATAGCTTACAACGTCCGAAAGGAATATCAATATTATCGATCGTCAACACGCATAGTATGAACAAAACTCCTTCTATGCGTACGAGTGGAAGGAAATAATAGGGACTTTAACCCGCAAGACACAACTCTAGGATTAAACATGATTTTTTTAATATAAAAAAACACATTAATATTAAAAGACTATTTAACTTACCCCAGCAGATGAGCATTTTTGACCTATGCGCTGAAGTATAAATATAGACCTTTCCCGCATAAGCCTGAGTTAAGTGTGGCTGATAATTATCTGCAAAATATACGCAGTTTTTGCACTCCTATGTGACCTCGTATATACGCAACTGCTAATTGCTCAGGGCTGCAAGGTATTTTGACTGCAGCTAGAGTCAGGTCCCACTCTTTCATTTCCAATCATGCTATTAGGCTAAATCGGTGTGCTCGCATCCATTCGGCTTTGGTGTCCACGTATCTTATATTATTGAAGTAAATGTTGCTCTAGAAGGTAGGCATTAACTTTCTGAAGATGATAATGCCACAAGCTTGCATTTTGATCTGATAGATATATTTGCAGGTTATCTAAACCTTCAAAATATCCTTTTTCAAGATTTTCTCATTTCAAACATCCCCTTTTATCCGCTACCTTCAATTAAAATAAAGTAAATAACCGGTGAGAAACGTTATGCTGAAAGCGCTGGATACAGTGACTCATAGAAAAATAATTTTTCTAAAGTTTTACTGTAGTCATTTATACGAAAGTATACCAATGTCAGTGTATCGATATTTCGTCAAACCAGTGGTAAATTAGGCGGTGTATATGCTAAACTACTTAGAACACCGCATGGGTGCGTTTGTGATTCAGCCGCCCTTCATGTTTCGTTGATTTGCGATATAGGACAGAGATGTCGCGTCATCAAAGGGAAGGCTATGCTGCAGATAAATTATTGTCGTATCAATGTGCAAAGACTCTTCGGTAACCAAGAAACAAAACCTTGTCTGTTAGTTTTTGAAAACCGGATATATCTCTGGCTCTTCTTTGTCCTCTTATCCTAGAGACACTTCAGTTGGAATTCTTGCAGAACACGACCCGCGATCACACCTAAAAGCTGTCAAATGGAGATACCTACCTAGTAGCACTTATTTACGAACAGTATGCGACGACAGAAGGAGGCTAAGGAAATCACTGAATGTGATGCCCACTCAGAAAGTGAAAACAAACATCATCATTTAGAGGGACTACATTTCCAGCAACTGAAACTTACCGATGCAGGCGAGGCTAGTGACTGTTCAAATAATCATGCCTACATGACAGGCGAGGACCGGAAATTAGATTTCTCAGAGTGTATGCCATCAGACACAACTCACTGACATAGACTCTACGGATTAGGCATATATTATATGTCAGATATTTACTTTCGGACAGTATTTTTTCTCCGGGACAATGCTGCTAATACTGGCCCACTTGGGTGGCTCGTCGAAAACTGCTTTCCACATAGTATTCACTCTCCGGTATTTTGACACGTTAGATGTCATTTATTCATGCCCTTTGACATTCCCTTTGTCAAACCATCAGCGGATGTAGTATGCAAACATCTACACAGACACCCTCGTACGAACTACAATGACACAAAACAACCCCTCAAGCTTGAGCATATCACGAATTTGAATAGTGCGCGACATAACACGCTTACTGTTGCTAAAAAGTCAAAGCTTGAGCCTTAACAGATTACTCAATGCAAAGCTCTATAATGTTTGTTATGAAGGCAAGAGAAAAATGGATTTTTAAATCTTTTTGGATTAAAACCGAAGAGTACTTAATGAGTACGTCGGCACCGCTTGAGGTCTTTTAATCAAGGTTTTTGTCACTTCAACTGTAGCAGCTACACGATGTGGTTCTGACGAGGAAGAGTACACACTTTATGACCAGGTTGGAAGGTCTCGCCTTGAAATTACATAAATTCGTGTCGACATTTTCGTACTTACAGCCTACTTTAGATGATAGCATGCATTAAAGCATGTTTTTTGTGTTCTTTACGTAAGTTAAACGATACGCTTAGCTTACAATTTTATAAAACAACTGTTCAAAAATATGGGATTTTTTCACTAATTTCCATGGCACAATTGTCTGCTTATTTCAACTGGTCACGCAACAACAAATCAGCCTTGCAACCACAAGTGATTTCACACTTACAAAAGAAAATGTGTTCTTAACTGTGTCGGTCCACAGACCGGTTGACATGCGTGAAGACGAATTGGCGTAGGCCAATGTTTCGCATGTGCTACATAGATTTGGGGCGTGGTCGGCAATTGGCAGATAATTGACAACAAT